GAGTGAGTGAGTGAGTGAGAGTGAGTGAATGAGAGAGTGAATGAGAGTGAGTTGTACCCACTGTTTTAAGAACCAGCCCCAACCCCCACCGGGACATCTGGCACCTCTTACCTTCCTTTTGGCAGCGCTTCCAATTCCCATCATAAACCGCCCTGGTCGAACACCAAGGGTGAAAGTGCCTGGCTCGTGTGCAAGAAAAATAGGCCGTCCCTTTGTAGGAGAAGGGAAAGACACACGCATCCTTCGTCTCTGAAAGGACAGAACACGAAGAGTGGAGATGAGTCGCAGCGAGGGAGCCCAGGATGAGTTCTCATGGTGGCCCACGGGCTGTGCCCACAAGCTTGACATCCCATTGCCTAAGAACAAAGAAGGGCAAGCCCAGCGCATTTGTGGACCAAGGCTATTGGGAAGGAGTTTCAGGAATAAACATGGCAACCAAGATGGCTTGTTCCTCCGGAGTGTAGGTTACGCCTGTGAGCACCCTACAAGGATACTTGATGCTCATTAGTAAACTTTTGAGTGTGAATTAGGTGGTCCTCTCTCATTGCCATCGGGTTGATGCCGGCTCATAGCAACACTAGCAGACAGGGTAGAACTGCCCCAGTGAGTTTCCAAGACTGGACCTGTTTACGGAGCTGAAAAGCCCCCTTTTCTCCTGCAGAGTGGGCTGGTGGTTTGGAAGTGCGGACCTTTCGGATCACAGCCCAGTGAGTGACCCTGTGCCACCAGGGCTCCTTTGAATTAGGTGAAGGCATGCTTTTTTAGTGGATCCCAAACTCATGTTTTAAAAAAATGTAGGGATACAACATTAAATAACTTTGAAACACAGATACCGCACTCCACCCCTATCCCCAATTCTGCTCTTTTTTTTTTAACCCCTTGGCGTTTTTACCCCATGGTTGGAACCCTATCTGTGTAGTTTTATCTTCTAAACAACATCGGGGGGTGAGGCTCCACACAGTGGAACCCATTCATTCTATGGTGTCTACCTGCACAAGTCCACGACATTGGCTTGTAGCCTTCAAGTGGTGCCACCTGTCTGGACGTCGTTTTCTGGACGGTTGTGACATCATCGACACACTCCATGACCCTGCGGCTTCTCATCTAACCTTCTGAGTGACCACTGTCAATTTGATGTCATATAGAGAATTTTTTAATAGAATGCAATGTTCAATGTGGACATTCAACCCTTCCTTCCCCTGCCCCTCCATAATTAAGCTGAACTCTTGTTTGGTTGTAGGGCCACCAGTGTTGCTGTTGGTGAGGCGCCCATGCTACCAACTCTAAGGTCAGCGATTCGAATCCACCGGTCACTCTACAGGGAGAACGACGAGGCCATCTACTCCTAGCAAGATCTACAGTCTCAGAAATCCCATGTAGGGTGGCAATGAGTCAAAAGCCATTTGATGGCCATGGGTTGGGGTGGGTCTTTACAATCTGTTTGGTTTTAAGAGCAACCTCAGAGATACATTAGGCGTCGGGCTTAAAGCTTAAAGATTTCCACAAGGCAATCATTTTGGGGAACCCTCTGCCCTCAGTGACTCCAGTACGTCTGGATTCTACGAGGGTTTGTAGTTCTGTTCCACATTTACCTCTTAGAGAAGAATTCCGAGATTCTTCTAGAGTGCTCGGCTGGTAATCGGAAGGTCGGTTGTTCAAACCCAGCAGCCGTTCTATGGGGAAAAGAGGTGGCAGTCTATTTCCCTAACGGTTGACAGCCTGAGAAACCCTCTGGGGACACTTTTACTCTGTGCTCCAGGGTCACCAGGAGTCGGAATCTACTGCATGGAAGTGGGTTGGGTTTGGGACTGGAAATCCTCCCCACGGTTTCCCGGTCTACGCACCTCCATTTGTCTCTGAGGAATAGAGGAGGAGGGCCATCCATCCCAACAGATAACTGGACCACCGGTTCATTTTGGCTGGCTTCTGGTCTCTGCATGGAAGGTAGACAAAGACTTGGCTCCCACATGTGTTCTTCCTCTTCTGATTGACTCCACAGTTGAGGTCATGCGGGTCCATTCTTTTTCTATCCCCAAGGGGTGACCAAAAGTATCACTTTTTTTTTTTAACCAATGCTTCTGCTTCTGGGTGAGTTCGAACTGCCAGCCTTTCAGCTGCTAGCCTATCCCCAGAGAGCCTTCCTTAGAGTCTCCGTGCAACTGGGAGCCAGGGAAGAAATGTCCTTATGGAAGGGGCCCTGGTAGTGCCACAGGCTACCCACTGGGCAACTAATCACAAGGTCAGGAGTTCAAACCCATCATTGGATCCACAGAATGATGAAGGTGTCGACTCCCACCAAGATGTTCAGTCTAGGAAACTTTATACAGGGCCACGATGGGTCAGAATTGGCTCGATCACAATGGATTTGGTTTTTTGTTTGGTTGGTTGATTATGGAAAGGATCGTGCTCTGTAGGAGAGAGCTAGCATTTGTTGAGTACTTACTATATTCTGGAAGAAAGAGAAGGCTTAGTACAGTCTCAGAAACCTACAGCAGCAGTTCTAGCCTGTCCTACAGGGTCGCTTTGAGTCCTAACAGACTCGGTGGCAGCTAGTTTACCGTAAGTGGGCTCTGTTGCCTCCTAGAGCCTGGTTCAGAAACGTCCAGAGAGTGGGTTGTCTTCACGTGGGCACTGTTGGCGCCTAGCGGCTGTCTCAGGAACTGGACTGGACTTGGCTGTCTTAAGGGAAATGGGCAGTGCTGAACTTCCAGGTTTTGGGGGGAGTCTTTAGGTCAGTAATTTGAAACCACTCTGCAGGAGAAAGACAAGGCGTTCTATTCCTGTAAAGAGTTACAGTCTCGGAAACTCGGAGAGGCAGTTCCACCCTGTCCTGTAGGGTTCGCTGTGAGTTGGTGTCAACTTGTTGACAGCAAACTGGGTTAGGGTTTACTCTTTTCCAGGAGCCCCTGTGTCACTGTGTGCTAAGCATTGGGCTGCCAACCACAAGGTTGGTGGTTCAAACCCAACAGGTGTTCCTCAGGAGCTGGATGAGGCTTTCTGTTCTCTGGCATCCTGTGAGGGCGATGAGAGTCTGTCTTAGAGGGTCACCAGGGGTTGGACTTGACACCATGGCGGTGAGTTTTTTTTAATCATAGTCCCGGCACAGCACTAGATTTGACATGTGGACTACTTGCTTCTCACAAAAAAAAAAAAACACCACATTTTTGTGGTTGTGGGTATGTGCTGGCTTCTGGCGACCCCATGTGGACAGAGTAGAATTGACCAACCTCCACAGGGTTTCCAAAGCTGTGACCTTTCGGTGGTTGAACGCCAGGGTGTTCTTCTGCAATGCCTCTGGGTGAGTTCGAACTGCCAACCTTTCAGCTGCTAGCCTGTCCCCGGAGAGCCTTCCTTAGAGTCTCTGTGCAACTGGGAGCGGGCGAAGGAATGGAAATGAGGAGGGAGTGGCCTTCATGAACTCAGAACCCTCCAATGGCCTGCCATCACACGTGTGATGAAACTGCGAAACTACACCACGGCCTTCCCCTCACCCTCCTCCAGCCCCAGCCACATGGGCATCTCGCTAGTGGTTATGCATTGGGCTGCTAACTGCAAGATCAGCGGTTGGAAACCACCAGCTGCTTCAAGGGAGAAAGAAGGGGCTTTCTACTCCTGTAAAGAATTATAGTCTCAGAAGCCTACAGGGGCAGTTCTACCCTGCCACATCGGGCTGTTGTGAGTCAATGGCAGCGAGTTTGGCTGGGGGGATTTCTAGAGTAAGTCAAGGAGATCTGGTGTTGGTGTGGGTTAGGAATTGGCTTGCTAGCTGCAAGGTCAGCCGTTCAAATGGTCTAGTCGCTCAGAGGGAGAAAAATGAGGTATTCTGGTTCTGTGAAAATACACAGTCTTAGCACACCCAATTTTCTGAACATCATGATCCGCAAGAGCAAGATGATGGCGACAAGCCTAAACGCCCAGCTATGGAGGGATGACGAGATCAACTCTGGTACATACAGACGAGGGAATATTGTGCGTCCCTGAACGATGGGGATGAAACTGTCAAACGCGTCGTGACATGGACACATTTGGAAGACATTATGCTGAGCGGAATGAGTCGATCCCATCAGGACCAATACTGGAGGAGCCCACTATGAGAAAAGGGGGCGAGGGCGGGGGGAAAGCATTTTTAAGCAGGCTTTGATGGTTATGGAGAAGCCAAGCACAAAGGGTGGGAGAGGAAGGAGGAATAAAATAAATAAATACACTTTTATTTTTTAAAAAGATACACGTATAGATAAATACATAGATAGATCGGTACATAATAGCATAGTCTATGCACTCAACAATATAGATCGCAGCATAGATAGATCTAGAGGTAAATAGATGTAAGACACCTTATGCTTTCAGCATGGGAGAGAAAAGAAGCCTGCTACTCCCAGAAAGAGTTACCGTCTCCGATACCCACAGGGGTAGTTCTCCCCTGTTCTGGGAGATCTCTTTGAGCCGTCATCGACTCAGTAGCAGCGGGGTTGGATTTGGGAGGGACTCAAAACATGAAAATAAAGGTGCTTTGAAAACCACAAAAGCACACTGTTAACTAGGACGCATTGTAAAACAAACAAACAAACCAAAACTCTCAGAAACCCACAGGGGCAGTTCTGCTCTGCCCCGTAGGCCACTGTGAGTTGGAATCGGCGGTAGTGAGTATTTTTTGTGTTTGGTGGAAGTCCCTACTTCTTTGAACCTCAGAGTGTTGGCACTTGCTGCTCTCGCGCCTGGGATACCTCCCCCCCCCTCCCCCCCGTGTATTTGCTTGGCTTGCTTTTTCAAGCCTGGGGTGGGGAGGAAGTATTCTGGGATGTGACGAGGTGGCCTGGGACCACATCTTGAATGTCAATTGGTATATTGGGGGCATGGTTCAATAAAACTATCGGAGTGGAAACCCAGCCCCGGAGAGCCAGACGCCCACGCCTGGAACATTCTGTTAGGTCCGAGTTCTTCCTCAGGTGGCGTTGTGCTCATAGGGCTTGGAGGAAGGGCCCTTTGTTCTGGGACAGCTGGCTTCTTGTCCTTGTCATCGCCGTGTTGGTCGGGTGGGAGTGGGGGTGGCATGGCTTTGGAGTCAGAGGGGCCTGTGTGCCCACCTTCATCTTTATTTTCCTCATTTTTTTTTTTTTGCATTAAACCACATTGTTCATTGTGGTCATGTTGAGCTGACTCAACAACAAAGAGCAGAACTCCACAAGGTGGACGAGGCTGTGAGCATTCAGAAACAGATCTCCAGTCCTATCTTCCTCCGTGCCTCTGGGTCGGGAGAGGTTCGAACCTCCCAGCCTTTTGGCCCGCAGTCAAGTGCTGAACCATCTGTGCTACCCAGCCATTGAATCAGTGTGGCAGTTACATCATCTGGTGTCAACTTGAGACGATTAAGAGTGAAGGGGTGGAGTTTAGCCTTTCAATCAGGTCACGGCTTGGAGGCACAACAGGGATAAATAGCTCACTGGAGGCCAGACCCACACTCTGCTTGGTCTTCCTGTTGACAAGACACAGGGAGCTACATTGTTGGACCCAGAGCCCTAGAGCTGGAGGAGCCACGTGGAGACCCACGCCAGCGCTGAGATGCATCCACCACCACTGGATCCACAAGACTTTCCACCCACTGGCCTATGATCTTCCTGCATTCAGCGTCATTGCATGTGTTTTGTGAGTCTGAAGAGGAATTTATAGACTACTATTGGGCATATGGGCTAGCATTAGACTTATGGACTTGATCGGGACTGGGCTGTTTTCTTAATATACAATCACTCTTTATCTAAAGCTCTTTCTTGTACACATATGAGGGTCTATGAATTTGTTTCTCTAGTCCACCCAGACTAACACAATGGGTGAACACAAGCCCATCTCAACCATCTTACTACAAGTACAGAGGGTTCTAGAAAGCTCTAGAAAGCACTGTGTGAAATGGCAGAGGACATGGGGAAATGCCATGATCTTTTTGCTCCATTCCCCACCCCCCGCCCCCCAACAAACTTCTTGAAGCCCTACCTCATGCAAGTCAGATGTCAATGACTATTTATGGAGATGAGAGAGAGGCAAATTGACCACGTCCTCTAAATCCTCCCCTACCGACCTTGTATTTTGAACGGTGGCAGACATAGATATAACCACACTTTTGTCTTTGGAACCTTCATCGAGTGTGCAGATCAATCATCTTCACTTAAGGCCATCATGATCTCCATCACTCTTCACCCCACAAATGTCCCCATCCTCCTTAACAGGAAGCTCAGCATCCCCCATGCACAGCGCCCTCCCTTCTCCCTCCCTCCTTGCCGGTCTTGGTAACCATCAATGAACTTTGGTCTCAGACCTTGTCAGTTGACCCCCCACCCACCCACCGTCTGATACACATTGGGCCTGATCTGGTCTTCAACATTTTTTATGTCTACCCCCGCCCCCCATATTGGGGTTTATCTCTAATGTATTTTGTCGTTGGGGGTAGTAGCCCTCTTGAATTTTTGTTCTATGTTTGTCAGTATATGAAACCCAGGATTGATGAGCCATAGGGGTAGCAAGTTGAATAAGGGTTCCCGGAGGGTACAGAGGGGGAGGGGGAAGGTACAGGAGAGCTGATAACAAAGAGTTCAAGAAGGAAGAGAATGTTTGTAAATGGATTGTGGTGGTGATTGTACAATACTGCTTGATGTGACTGAACTGTGGAATGATAAGATCTTTGTATTAGCTCACAATAAAATGGTTATGAAAATACTGTGGTCTCTTTATACTTACCTATCCACCCCCACCCCCACCCCGCCCCTTAATATATTGTATTGCAGTGCAGACTACGTTTTGCTGTTTAACATGCATCAGGGGTGACGATGTCAGCTAACGGTAGCTAGCTTGTTACCATGGGGAGGCTCCCTCTGAAGCAAGAGGCTTGAGAGAATTAAATATGATCTCAAGCTTGAAGATTTGCT